GAAGGCATCACCACCGCTCATAGCTAGCCTATCGGTGCTCAATATAAAATTCCATTACATAAAATTCATACATCATGGAAGCTCACTTCTAGCATGAGGACATCATAGCATATTAAATGATTCTCATCTCATCAATAGTAATAAGTATGTATTTACTTCAATACTTTCATTAGAGTGTTCGTAGAGACTGATCTCTTCATTAGCTTTACACTCTCAGAAGTGAGTACGTTTTGGTAACATTTACTTAGGATCATTTGAGATTGCTCTCATCTTGTACATTAGCCTCTTATCATATTGTCACCTCATTCATTAACTTTAACACATTTGGTTTTGATAATTACTCATCCATTCACGTGAATGTTCATTTCATCATATGTAAATGCACTTGGCCAATTAGTGTGTTTCACACTCTTACTTAACTCTTCTAAGGTTACATCATTTTATCACATACATTTTAGTGTGACTTACTTTTAAAGGTATGCTAGACTTATGAGTCCATACGACAAGCCATTAGGCTTCATTCATAGTTTATCTAAGTGATTCATGTTTACTCAATATAATGTGGTACAAGACTTATGCATCTTGTACATATGCCAAGGTATTGATTTTGATCTTTAGAGACGGCATTTATTAAATATATTTTTACGTATGACTTATGTGTCAATACGGAATTGGGCAATGGAACCCGATTTCGGTCCTTTTTGATTTTAAGGCAAGGAGTTTGTGGGTTTAATCCCCTACAAGCTCATTATTTTTTAAAATTTATATTTTAAATTTCTCACCTATCCAAGAGATTGTGGGTTCAATCCCCACTCCCCATATTTATGTTCTTCTTTATTTTTCTCCTAACTCTCTCCTCAATTCAAGAGGTTGTGGGTTCAATCCCTATTCTCCACATTTTATTTTCTCCTTTATTTTTCTCGTAACTCTCTCATCCATTCAAGAGGTTGTAGGTTCAATCCCAACACTCCACATTTTATTTTTCTCCATTTTTTTAACCTAATGGGTTCTATCCCCACTCTCCACATTTTATTTTCTCCTATATTTTTTTCCTAACTCTCTCATCCATTCAAAAGGTTTTGGGTTCAATCCCCACTCTCCTCATTTTATTATCTCCTTTATTTTTTTTCTAACTCTCTCATCCATTCAAGAGGTTGTGGGTTGAATCCCTACTCACCACACCTATTTTACCTTTATTTTTTCTCATGAAATTTGTATGTAACTTTTATTTGGTAAGGTAATGGTTTCAATCCCCAATGACCTCACATTTAATTTTTTTTTCAAATCATAGCTAATTTTCCTCATCCTTGACCGAGACTCCAATCAAATTTCCTATTAATCTTTTGTCAATTTTTGTAGCTTTCATGTCATGATATATTGGGTTCTATATTTAGTGATTTCACTTATTTTACATTCAATTTTCAATTAATTTTGTACTACTTTGTTTTTCCGAACCCAATCTACCAAATGAACTCATTTGGTGCATCTTTAAGTGAAATCTTTTTATGATTATATTCTGCAATGAATTACCATTAAATCTAGAAACATTACACCACTTTTACACCTCATGATTTACACAAAAAGTCGAACATAAAATTAAACAATAAAAAAATATCATTTTTAGGCTTAAAACTGAAAATCATGTCACAACACACACATACATTTTTCACGAAATTTCGGCAGACATACTTCATAATTCATACAATTCCGAACATATTATCAAAAAAATGACACTTCATACCTAATCTACTATAAACCAACCTAAGATCAGTGCTTAGCGCTAGTGACAGAGAGCATGTAATGGGGAACAGTCCTAGTTTCGGAACAAAATTATATGAGTCTTAAGTGTCTGTTTGGAAAGGGACAAAGCGTGATAAAACCCATACCTGATTTTAACGTGGTTCAACACTTGAACTTGCTGCCCCAAAACATCGCCAAATTCATGTCCAATCCTGAACCTCACACCTTACCCGGATACCGTATTACAATCTGCTTAACGTGTTCGGATTGCTTTCTCGTTTGTGTTTTGCGTGCAAGTTCTTCAAGTGTTAAGAACTTTTGTTCTTTGAATTTTTTATGTCGTTTGGCAGACAGAAAGAAAGTGTGAAATGAGAGAGAGATAGACTTGAAGGAGAGAAAGATAAACAAGAAAGAGGTGACTTAGGATTATGTGAAGTAGTTTAGACTTAGTCAACTAGGACTCTTTCAAACTTTGAAAATCTTATTTAATTAGTTTAGTGAAATGATCATAATACCCTTACAATATCAGATTATAAACCTAAATTTAATCCACTTAAATGTTTTATACCATCCAGGTTTTAACCCGTGACGTCCCCATCGCGAAAACGGGTCCCTCCGGGTCGACCCGACCCAAAACGCCCCATTAGTTTATTAATTAATATTAATAACCTGATTTCCATTTTTCTTTAATAAGTATTTAAATATTACTTTATTAAATTAATTAACCAATATAAATAATAAAGCTTAATCATGTCTCCCACCTTGGTTTGAATCTGGGTGTAGCAAGATTTTTGCTCAATGGTTTATTTCGGCCGTTTCTCTCAAAATTTCCCCTCTACCTTATTATTAAATAATTAATTATATATTTAGGGTAATTATGATATTACCCTTAGCCCAGAAAAAGGCTATTTACCCCTAGACCCTCCAAACTTATGATTTCCCCTTTTCAAGTCCGGTAAAGACTCATCCGAGTAAATCGTCATATTTGGGAGCCCTACATGGCTAGAACAAACATTTCCTATCCCAAACAACTCCCCAAGCTAGTTTGATTTTCTGTTGCAAGGGTTCACTGGTCTTTTTCTACGCGCATTAATTTGTGTGAACCTGGTCTAATGTAGGCATTCTAGATACGTTAGATATTACTTAGCATAGTCATTTTTAGTTTTGTAACATTATACCCCCCTTAGGGAAATTTGTCCCTAAATAATACTAAACACCATTTTTAAAATAATGAGGGTGATTTTCAAAAATATGTGAACATATTTGAGAATTTACTATTTGTTAATTTCTATTTCACACTTACTCATGATATTGCATATTACTCAAGCTTATCTGAAGCTTCATATTTGAGATTGAGGAACTTCCTTCTAAATCACACTTAACTTGATGCACCTCACATGTCAGGCAATACAAAAAAATCATGTCCATGCTATTTAAAAATAGCAACATGACATGAAAACATGAATTCATTTTAACTCACATAGTGCAATTTTTACACATTTGATTTTGGACTAACAACACCAAGTAGACTATTGCACTAAAACATAGAGTTTCTTGAATAAAACCAGCCATAGGAGGAGTATATCTAACCCCTTAGATAACATCTTGTTGGCCTTAAGATTTGAAACTAAATGTCTTTGTTTGATTGGTCCACACCCTGCCCATTTATACCCTATCTTATTTGGCAACTTTAACCTCACCACCCTAGTTTGATAGTCCATGGTACCATAACACTTATGGAGAAAATCCATACCTAAGCTATTCAATGCATTTTATTTGGTGAATATCTCATTTACATATTAGTAGGTTGGTCACATCCTTGAAACCTACTAGCAACTTCTTATTAATAGACTAAGGAACTCCTTCCTAAACTAGTCTTATCAAAGCATACAACATAAATAAACACAAAAGTCACATAAGTCAGCAGTCAACATGATGACTCCAACATATTAACTTCATACTAGTGCGTAAAATCACACACATGAAAAACTAATTTAGTTTAAGCACCTGAGACATCACCATATGTGTCTTCCCCTACACCCCTAGACATGAGTGTGAAGAATCGTTGCCTCCTTGGAACCTCTTCACGAGGATCATTCGACTGAACTTTCTCCTTCCCTTTTCCTCGACCTCTCATATATGGACAATCCTTTATAATGTGACCTGGTTCTAGTAACAAGAGATAGAGCCCCTCCTATACTCTCCTCCATGAACGTTGCCACACTTTCTATGAGGTGGCCTCTCCCGAGGTGTATCTACTTTATTGTTTCTCTTAATTCTAGGCCCGGAATACATATCATAGCGACCCTTGGATGACCTTTACTCCCCTTGGTGGGAGAGTCCCTTCTTAAAACAGGCTTATCCCTGATTTCATTAATACTCTTCCTTGAACAAATTTTCTAAGCTTGCCTTGACCTCTTCCCTGCCCTTATATGCTTTCTCTTCCTGTTTTCCTCCACTTGTTTTACACAAACCATAAGCCTGGAAAAGTCTATTCTCGTATGCAGCATAGATGCCTTACACTCCTCCTCGGTATTATCAAAAATCTTAGATCCAGTGTAAATGGGAGGATTCATTCTCATAAAGTCCCTTAACGTTGTAGCTATGGTGCTGGCAGGTGGGTTTTTCCTGGTAGCACCCTGTTGCTCTTCCTGGTCTGTCATAGTCTTAGCTTGTAAGGTGATGGATTGGGCCATCTGTACAAAGAGTGTCTTAACTTCTCCATCTGTCAACCCAGTTGGGTTAACAGACATCTCCCTTCCCGCACGTGGAGCCTGGGGAGGTTCTTGAGTCACCGCAGGAGCTTCTCCTACAATGTCTCCGCCTGCATTTCTCCTCGTATTCATTTTTCTAAATATGAAGAGTCGATGTTAGATACGCTCTTAACACCAAGAAATCAGACATTAGAAAAGGCACGATAACATCAGAAGAAGAGAATTTTTCCTATGCATCATGTAGTCTTTAATTTATGATAGTGGTGCACTTCACTACCATGACATAGAAACTACTCGATGTGGTTGATGAGAACTATGATCCTCAAAACTTAAGCTAATGCTCTGATATTAATTTTATCACGACCAGGGTCTAGACCACTGATAAGACCAACGTCGTTGACCACTCAGAAGTCGCAGACAAGCCTACATAAGTTATCTCTACTTCAGCTTGGTTAATTTTAGAAGAAAATTTGATCTTTTTTTACTTAACATTCATATAAAACATTCTGCATAAACTGATAAACATTCACAATCAACCATGTAATATTAACATCATCAAATGAAAGAAATAGTTCAATACTGCATCAAGTGCATACTTGACAAAATGACACAAATACAATGTTTGAAATAAACTGAGAAAGAAATTCTAGTGGAATATACTCCACTAACTCAAACCTATATCTAAGCTAGAATATAATAGGTGAGCAACCTTAAAAGCATGAGGTCCAACCATGTTCAGATATTATTTCATGTTTGGATAGCTGTTGTGTCATCTCGTAAGGTCTACCGTCCGCCTGCACCTGCACCTAAAAGTATAGAGTTCTATGGGATTAGTACACCCTTGTACTATGTATGGGTATATGCAATCACACACCAAGGACATTCATGATTAAGAACCGATCTCCCCTATCGATATGAAATATGGAAAGTCAAGTCAGTTGATCTGCCAATTTTAGATTAGGAAAGTCATGCCACGAGAGTAACATGCATCATCATAGTTATAATTTTGCAAATAGCACATAACATATTACACATATCATATCACATAGTTCATATCATTATTTCATATGAAACGAGACCTTTGAATCACGGACTTGACATTAGGAATACCAAAAATGAGGACTCAAATTATGGGACCTTTACTAGGGATCCATAATTAACAAACACATAGTTTGCTTCATTCATTCATATGTACTTCATTTTCATTCTTTCATATACTAGTGCAACCAACAGTCATACCTAGGATGTAGTTTAAGACTTTCATCGGGATCGCGGTGCAATGACCAAGAATAACCTAGTGTTATTACTTCAGTCTAGCTCACCTCTTGATTATCTAGTTCGAACATATTTCGTATCGTTCATTTAGTTATGTGAATTCGTTGAGGCTTACCTAATTATTTCTTTTTTAACTTTAAACTTAACCGATATAAATCATATGAGTATCATGAAATTCAGTGTGTAATCTCCACATCGAAAAGAGGTTGAATCACCAGACAAAGTGAACCAAAACATGCTAGCATATATAGGAAGTTTTACCCTGCTTGATCGCTATATTGGTTGTATAGGTTCAAAGACTAGGAGATATAAGAAGACCCATACCCTTCATGCCAGAGAGTCTCATCTCATGAGGCTTACATGAAACTCCGCCCTTCCGGATCAAGTCATCACCGCTCATAGATAGCCTATCGCTGCTTAGTATAAAATTCCATTATATTCAACTCATACATCACATAAGGTGGCTTCTAGCATGAGGAAATCAAAGCTTATTAGATTATTTCTCATCTCATCATTAGTATTAAGTAGCATTAACTTCATTACTTTCATTAGAGTGTTCATAAAGACTGGTCTCTTTATAAACTTTACACTCTCATAGGTGAGTACGTTTTAGTAACATTTACTTATGCTCATTTGAGATTTCCCTTATCTTTCACATTAGACTCTTATCATATTTTAACATCATTCATTGACTTAAACACATTTGCTTTTAATAATTACTAACCCCTTCACGTGAATGTTCATTTCATCATATGCCAATGTACTTAGCCAATTAGTGTGTATCACACTCTTACTTAACCGTTCAAGGGTAACATGATTTCATCACATACATGTTAGTCTCACTTGCTTTTAAATGTATGCTACACTTATGAGTCCACACATACAAGCAATGAAGCTTCATTAGTAGTTTGTGTAAGAGATTCATGTTAACCCAAGATTATGTGGTACAAGACTTATGCATCTTGTAAATATGCAAAAGTTTTGATTACGATCTATAGTTGCGTCATTTATTAAAAAATCATTTACGTATGACTTATGTGTCAACACGGAATAGGGAAAGGGAATCCGATTTCAAATCCATTGAACAACACTTAATCTTATTTTGGACTTGATGATTGCGTTTTTCAGATTGGGAGACCCTAGTTCGATTTCCATCAACCCCATAGTATTTCTTTCTTGTTCTCCTCTCCTTTTTCATTTTCAAGAAGGGAGGTCGTGGGTTCAATCCCCCACAAGTTTGTTATTATTCTTTTAATTTATCTCTTAACTTTCTCATCTATCCAAGAGGTTGTGGGTTCAATCCCCACTCTCCACATTTATTTTCTCCTTTATTTTTCTCTTAACTCTCTTATCCATTCAAGAGGTTGTGGGTTCAATCCCTACTCTCCAAATTTTATTTTCTCCTTTTTTCTCCTAAATCTCTCATACATTCAAGAGGTTGTGGGTTAAATCCCCACTCTCCACATTTTATTTTTACCTTTAGTTTTCTCCTAACTCTCTCATCCGTTCAATAGGTTGTGGGTTCAATCCCGACTCTCCACATTTTATATTCTCGTTTATTTTTCTCTTAACTCTCTCATACATTCAAGAGGTTGTGGGTTCAATCCCCACTCTCCACATTTTATTTTCTCTTTTATTTTTGTACTAAATCTCTCATCCGTTAAAGATGTTGTGGGTTCAATCCCCACTCACCACATCTATTTTTTCTTTCATTTTTCTCATGAAATTTTTACATAATTTTCATTTGTTGTGGCCATGGATTTATTCCCCAATAAACTCACGTTTTAATTTTTTTAATAGAATAGCTAATTTTCCTCATCCTTGACCGAGACTCCAAATTTTCAGCAAGCATGAAATTTTGTCTCTTTTAATCCATTTTCCTCTTAATCTTTTTTTGATTTTTTTTAACTTTCATGTAATCATGTCTTTGGATCAATCATTAGTGATCTCACTTATTTTACATTAATTTTTAACTGTATTTTGTATAACTTTGTTTTGCCGAACCTAACCTACCAAATGCTGGAAATTTGTTCATTATTTTAAGCTTCTTTTTATGATCATTCATATGTTAATTCTTAAGGCATTTCGTGGATCATTTGGTGCATCTTTAAGTGCAATATTTTTATGATTATGTTCAGCAAAGAATTACCATTAAATCCAGCAACATTACACCACCAATACACCTCATGATTTACACAAACATTCTCACATAAAATTCAACCATAAAAAATATATCATTTGTAAGGCATAAAACTGAAAATCATGTCACAGCATAGACATACTTTTTTCACGAAATTTTGGCAGACATACTTCATCGTTCAGAAAATTCCGACCACATAATCATGAATATATTATCACGAAAATCACACTTCATTCCAAATCTACCAGCAAACATACTAACCTAAGATCAGTGATAGGGTCTAGTGATAGGGAACATATAATGGGGAAATCCTAGTTTTGGAAAAGAATTATCTAAGTCTTAAGGGTCTCTTGGGAAAGGGACCAAGAGTAACTAAACTCATACCTGATTTTAACGTTGTTCAACACTTGAAATTGCTTCCCAAAACATCTCCAAATTCACGTCCAATCCCGAAACTCACACCTTAACCGTCTAGCGTATTACGTTTCGCTTTACGTTTTCGGATTGCTTTCTTGTTTGTGTTTTGCATGCAAGTTCTTCAAGTGTGAAGAACTTTTGTTTTCTGATTTTTTTCTCAAATTTGGCAGCCAAAAAGAAAATGTGAAATGAGAGATAGATAGACGTGAAGGAGAGATAGATAAACGTGAAAGAGGTGAGTGGCTTAGGATTAGATGAAGTAGTTCAGACTTAGTCAACTAGGACTTTTTCAAACTTTATAAATATTATTTATTTAATTTAGTGAAATTACCAAGTCAGATTTTAAACCTCTATTTAATACACTTAAATGCTGCTTTCATAGTGGTTCGAACACGTGACGTCCCCATCGCGAAAATGGGTCCCTCCGGGGTGACCCGACCCAAACCGCCCCATTAATTAATTAACTAATAAAAATAAGATGATTTTACTTTTTGTTAAATCATAATTTAAATATTAATTAATTAAATTAATTTACCAATATAAATATTCAAGTTAAATCATTGCTCCCACCTTTCTACCCAAAATGCCAGTCCTTCATATTAATTAAATAATTAATTACATATTTAGAATAATTACAATACTACCCTTAGCCTTGAAAAGTACCATTTACCCCTAGACCCTCTAAAATTATGATTTCTCTTGATTACGTTCAATAATGACTCATGAAAATAAATCTTTATATTTGGGAACCCTACATGGATGGACCCAACCTAACCTAACTCAAGTAACTCCCCAACTTAGTTGGATTGGCTTTTGAAAGGGTTCAGAGGTTTGTTTCTACGCGTATCAATCCGTTTGAACCTAGTCTAATCTAGGCATTCTAGATACATTAGACATTACTTTGCATAGTCATTTTAGGGTTGTTACAATCGATTTATGAATCTCCTTCAGGTAAATTGAATTTTTATACCCAGCAATATTGTATTTTCATAATACATCAATGTAGTCTATGATATACATCTCAGATTTTATGGTGTACTTGTATATATATATTGAGAGGTTTAGCATGTTTTCAGTAAGCATTTATTTATAATGAATATATGTTAACTGTGTATACTAAATAAGAGTTGGTAGATCATGAGTTGAATAAATCGAAGATAAGTATTCCTTCTTACTCCCTTTCACACCTGTGTTTTGTTTAGATTTCCAACCGCATACTCGTATGTTCAATGTACTGATGTTAGTTGGCCTGCATTTGTTTATGATGCAAACGCAAGGAACAACGATCATCACGCGGATTATTGTTGTTCTAGATTCAGATCCAAAGTCAGTGGTGAGCCTTTTTATATTCCGGAGGACATCCATTTCTTTTCTGTTTAGTAGTTTTGTTTTAGGATGTTATGGGGTCTCTACCAACATCCCTCTTCATTAAGTTTAAAGGCTTCGAAGACAATAGTATTTCATTGTAGAGTTTATCGTTGTATGCTGAGACTTGAATGCCGTCATGGCCAGATATTATAAGAAGTACTTTCCTTTAAACTTGTCTTATTTTTCGTTTAAGTTCAGTTTCCATGCGATTAGCGTTTACCCAATATTATAGTAAAGTGAATACACACTCGTTTAGAGATTCCAATATAGGTGCATAGCCTTAAAGTATCAGTTTTGGACCTAAAGGGGAAATGATAACATGAGGAACCAAGTCAAGTGTTCTGAATCAGAAAGTAATATGTTCCATTAGAATTAAAGTGATATATCAATCCATTCGTACACTAGTGTATTCCTAATTTTTTTTCATTATAATATCCGTTAATGTCTTGCATATTAACATTATGTCCATAAATATAATATTACACTTTACAGAGATTCACAACTATGTCAAATTCTCATAATAAGAGATTGAGACTTTATCCAATTGATCTAAATCTTACTCTGGAAAAAATTATGAATATCAATATCATGATATAAATCATTTTATATAAGCACTCATTTCTCATCATATGCTAAGTCTCACAAAATTCATGATTTACCTTCAATGGATATCGAAACAATGTTATGTCATGCCTATTGTTATATCATATTTATTAATTGAATAGTGCTTATGATACTTCACCCTATGCTTTTTCAATTATCATTTTTTAATTCTGATAGTGATAGAGATGATTAGTTTTATTCCTTAAGAGCATGGTGGAAAGTTTTGGGGAATCTAGAAATCCATCACTTGTATCAATTATTGCATTATAGTCCTATTAGTATTTCATGACAAATATATATACGTTTCATGTCAAATAGATCCATATAAAGTATGACTCATGTTCAAATGTGTATCATTTATAAACCTTGTCAAATAAATCAAGTTCTTAAAATTTATTAGTGCTTTATGTTCAAATGTATTAAAAGAATCGTACCCGTAATTTTTCGTAACAACCTTTGGGTCATTTTCGTTTTATGCCACCTATAATGAGTAAACTTTTGAGGCACTTTTTCTTTTTGAGACTACTCATAACACACCAGCTACAATTGTATGAGGTACTTCACATAGTGTAAGAGATGGTACAAATGCTAGAGTTAGGGAGCTTGAGTTAGTGGTCATGGTGTCTTTCATACTAGTGTGAGTGCGGACATTTCTATGTTATACAGGGTATATCAGAGATAAAGGCCTCAGATGTAGTGATCGCAAGTAACGTTCTAGTCCATCATCATTTTGTTATTGTATTATTTTATTTTAGGGTCAACATATTCTTATATGTCTACTTATTTCTCTACAAGTATTGATCATGTGTGTGAGTCCATATTATGCCTATTAGTATCTCTATTCTGGTAGGTGATTCTTTAATGGAGGATCCGATGTACTAGTATGGAAGGGTAATTTGAGTTCATACTCGAAGGGAGTGATATCTTCTCTTGATACTTTTCATATAATGAAGAAGGAATGATTATATTATTTCGCCCATATTCATGATCAAACAAAGTATCTATCTCATTTAAAGACCACGGGAGTGGTGAGAGAGTTCATATATTTGTTTTCTATCGACTTGTTAGGCGTTCATCCACACATAGACATTGATTTTTGGATTGACTTGGTGCTGGTCACTAAGCTCGCCTCCATTCATTCTTATTGGATGGCTTCGAAAGAGTTGAACGGATTGAAAGAAACATAGGAAGACTTTTTGTAGAAAGTATTTATTCTACCTAGTGTTTTACCATGCGGTGGAATGGTCTTAGTTGTGAAAAAGAAAATGGTACCATAATGATCTGTATATACTACCAGTAGTTGAAAAAGACTACAACTAAAATAAGTATCCTATTCCTCAAAGTGATAATTTTTTATTAGCTTAAGGGTTCGTCAATGTTCTCCAAGATTGACTTGAGGTAGGGTTACGGAAAGCATACCCCAAACGGGTCTGGGAGGACTAAGACAAGACCTTAACATTCGTCATTACATGTTATCACTTAGAATTGCAAAAATTAAATACTTTAAATACTATGTGAAGTATACTTAGACTTTATACATAACAATCATGAAAGCATACGTACGATTTTCTAAAAACTTTCTCATATTAAAAACCATCTAAAGAGTACGAATCTGGTCTTAGCCAATAAAAGTCAATATGCCATATAGGCCTTAATACAAAAGAATCCAAAAACATAATGGAAATATGAGTACTATTAAAATCTTCTAAAGTCTTCGCAAGCTAGAATATGAAAAGATAGCATCATCGAACATTAGGATCGACGAAAACTTGGAGAAAGAGTTCCAAGCTTCTTCAATCGACCTTCTTAATATTTGATGGCCGGACCCTACATTTGTAGTAATATAAATTAATGGGGTTATTAATCCACATGTACTAACTATGGGTATATGAACATAACATCTTAGGACATGCACAAAACGGAGTCAACTTGGGCAATGTCTAGTCGGGGGCCCATAACCCTACAAATATTAAGTAGACCCTTCAAGTAACCCTATTCAACATCGATTTACATGTCTTTCATTTTACATAAGGGAACATTCTCCTTAAATTAAATCACACAATGTGATTTAATATGGAATCTGGTGTCATAGAACACCATACCGAAAGAAGGTGGTCTACCGGTCAAAGTAGAAGCAAACATGACATAGGTTTCTAGGTGTATCCACAAATTAGTATCCTATGATCGCAACTTAGTTCAAGAAATAGGAGATGTATTAGAGACTTATAGTTCTACATTACATGTAAGCATCTATCTCATGAGAGTCATTATGATCCTACCTTCAAATTAGGGAAAGGAGGCCTCCCATATATAGTACATCAGTGCTAAGTTTAAGTCCCTTTTTTATTAATCTTTAAATCATCAATTGTTCATAAATCTTATCATAGGTAATAGGACATTAAATCCTTGTATAAACATGATCATGATCTCTTTAAGATTAGATGAGAATTTCCTTTCATCATAACCCTTCGTTTGTGATATTAACATATCATAAATCATATTGTGAAAGTATACAAGAGAATATCAAAAATTTGAATTATCGTATTATTATCATAATCTCACGATTATCATTTTCACATCCCAACATATATACATATAATCATATACATACATCATTAACATTGTAACATCATTTATACACTAACATATATATTGTTGAGTAATCACCACTATAAAAGACTTACCTCTTGTTTCCGAGATCCTTAGTCAAGAACTTATGTTCAAGTTCCAATAATCATATAAAAACATAGTGAAATACTCGATATCATAGCCAATACTAACTCTTCAACTCCTAAACAAGACTAGTTCGTAAAGTAGAATAAGGAAAAAGGGTCATTAAAGCATTCATTCTAGTCATAGTCCCAATCCCAACAATTACGTGTTATCAATTAGTAGTATAACTCATTTGATATCATAAATTGAGAGAGAAATCATGCATCACACGATATTCGAACATTATTAATCCAATACTTAACAATTTGTGCGAAATCAACCATTGAAAAGAATTATTTTTTATCGATAGTAATAAATCTAGAGTTTGGAAGAAAATCTATTTTATAGAGTAAAAGCACTAGAATTTGAATTTCTTGAAAACTTTCCTTGAGAGGAACTTTTGGCAAAAGGAATACAAAGAGTGAAAAAATCATACCTTATTGACGAATAATCCACGAATTTAGGAAGAAAATCTTGTACCATAT